GCCTGTCTACTTTCGAGAAGAGAAAGTCCCGCGAATATGAGCACGTCCGGCGGGACCTGGACCCCAACGAAGTGTGGGAGATCGTGGGCGAGCTGGGCGACGGCGCCTTCGGCAAGGTTTACAAGGTGAGGGCGCTGGGGGGGTGGCGNGGGGGGGTGGCGGCGGGGGAGCGAAGGGGCGCGGGTTCCGGTGCCACGGCTGGAGAGGGCGCACGGGGGCTGCCCGTCCCTAAGCTCGGGGTTCGGGGCTGCTGTCCCGGTGACCCTTGTTCTTCGGGGGACGCTCGCTCAGCCCGGCTGCGCGTCTGCGCGCTGGGCGCCCCCTCTGGACCCGAACTCTCGGCTCGGTTTCCAGCACTTCCTGTGCGACCGGCCGTGCGCTCGGCGCCGCAGGGGGAGACAAAGGGGCGCTGCGGGACCTCCGCGCCCGAGAGGGCCACCCGGGCACCCGCCCTGTGACTGGGAGAGCGGGCAGACTTTTGAAAGAGCGCCCGCCCCTGGCTGTGGGAATGCCGAGGCGTGGGGCACCCACCCGGCTGCGTCCGGAAGGTTAGGACCCGGGGAGGGGGGGACGCACCTGAAGGTGGTCCAGAGACTGGAACAGGCGCGGGTTTGGGGGGCGGTCTAGAGTGAGAGGTTAGGTTTGGAAAGGCGAACGGGGGCTGCCCTGCGGGGTCATCTGTGATTCTGTGGATGAGTCACAGCTGGGGAGTCTCCCAGCCTGCAGCCACCTTTCCCCTGGAGGAACCCGGCGCTGGGAGCTGCTGAGCAGGGGGGTTGGGGCGGAGCTGATTAATTCTGGACGTGTTTGCAGCAGGACATTGTCTGGCTCCTGCCCCTGTGGACGAATTCCGAGTGGCTGCGTTGCATTGGGGACCTACACACTTAGGGCTTGACCCTGTCCCTGGTCTGCTTTTCTCCAGGAAACTGGAGAGAGTCCTCCAGGAGGGCACCACCTTCCTAAGCCACCATCACCCGCCTCTGGGCTCCTCTAGCTTGTAGACCACTCTGACCCCAGGATGGCCCTTTTAGGAGGCTGGACCTCAGAAGGGGCTTCTGTATCCCCCCCCCCC